TACTTTTCTTCACCAAAATCAAAAACTGTATAATGAAAAACTAGCGTTAAAGGCTGAATTTTTGCATGAAAATTATGGATTTTTCGAAGTGAGATTTTGGTAGAGTGTTCGAATTTTAGGGTTTGGAAAAAAAATGGGGAAAGTTAGGGTTCGGTGAAAGGGCCGATGAAGAAGAAGAAAGATATGTTTTTAAGGAAAAAAAAAATTAATTGTACAACCAAAATGTCATTATATTTAACTTTTTATAGTATTATTAATTTAATGGTAATTAATATTTATTTCAAATAAAAAAAAATTAATGTGCATCATTTTATTTTATTTTACTTTGTATGTAATAAATAGATATATTTTGTTTTGAAAATATAATTATATATTTAATGAAATATCAAAAAATAGGGTATGGAGAAAGTAGAATTTACGCGGCCCCATTATAAGAAAAAAAATTTAAAATGTTATTGAAAATGTTATTTTATTTCGAATATATTATAAGAAAAAAAATTCGAATATATTAAAAATGTTATTTTATTTCATTTAACTTTTTTTATCACAAGAGATATCCGCAATTGCTATTCTATGAATGTGCTTGAGGTAAAATTCTTGTTTGTATGCAATAGAGCTCACAAACCACACCAAAAAGGTAATCCGCACTAGGCAATTCTTATTATATTTGACTTCCTATAGTATTATTTTAATTGTGATTGATGGATTTTGTATTTGGACTTTTTTTCTTCATGAGTTATCTAACAAGTAAGAGAGCGTGATAATTGCTAAATCACCAACTAAAATTGTTGTTTTCATCGAGAAGTTGATCTTATAATTGATATGATAGTGATGTTGGTTGCAACTATAGCACAATGATTAGCTTTTGATAATCGATAACTTCATTCTTAATAAAAGTTACATATTTAGATCATCTTGAATATGGAGTTGTGTTCATTTGGGAGCATTTTGCCTCCTAATGTAAGATTTCCCAACATGAATTCAAATTAATCAAACTCTAACGCATATATCAAACATTAGGTGCCACTAACATTGTACGTTTGAATATCGTACAGTTTCTATCTAAATTGTCACCATCTATGCAATAAAATACACTTGATTGAACAAATGGTGATAGTTCAAATAGAAGAAAAAAAACAATTGATAATTGACCTATTCAGCTTCAATATGTCTTAATATATAGATGATGATAGTACCAACAGGAAAAGAGAATAATTGATAATCAGAATTGAAACACACAAAAAAAAAAAATAGTTAACTTGTGGCTTTGACTATTAAGCTGAATCTTTTACACATTATGTATACTAATTTTTTGACACGTTTGTGTTGCCCGTGGATTCTAATTCCTTTAGTACACAATTTAAGTAAAATTGCATCAAAATTATGTAACTGATATTCCTGAATAGATCTGCTCCAAGAACAAAAAGTTCCTCAACTTTTTTTTAACTCATAGATGGTGTTTACATTAACTCAACAACTACATGACACATGTCGTTCACATACACATATCGCTGACCATGGTACTTCATCATGTGTGACATATGGTTTAGTGTAAACATCGGATGTGAGTAAGTTTTTGTCGAACTTTCACCTCTTAATTGTATATGCCTCATGTTGTGGTCTTCCTGGTGGTAGACATCTTGTCAATCTCCTCAAGAGCTGCCCATAACTTTGGATCTTCATAATCTTTAATAAGAAAAGCAGGCTTTGCTTCCATAAGTAACTGAGATGGATTCCGGTTCGCCAAACCAATGACAGACATTCCAGCAGCCACCCCAGCTTTTATTCCTGAGACAGAATCCTACCCATGGAGCACACATATAATAAGTTTATAAGATGAAACCGGGGTTAAATTCATAATTGAAACAACAACAACAATATACACATTATGGAATCTAAGGAGGGTAGAGTGTACGTAGACCTTACCCATACCTTGGGAGGTAGAGAGGTCTATCTCTGTTTTTGATAGAACCTTGGTTCAAGGAAAAAGACATACTGGAGTAAAGAAACTATTGCAAAAAACACTATAGGAAGCATGGCAAAGCATTCTCAAAAAGGGAACAGTAACTACAGCAAATAATACAATAATCGAAGTACGAGATATGTCTCACAAAAAAAAAAGTGCCTGAAAAGCTGTCTAACCCCAAAAAACACAAGTAGACTTACTAGCTGTATAAGAATGTCATGCAGGTATAATCACGTCAACAACTAACCTTACATACTATTCACGTACCACTTGGAGGAAAAAAAAAATTCCAACCTACAAACCAAATGTACGACGGCTTTCATCATGTGTGACATATGATTATTAGTTTTCATTTTTTTTCAAGTGAGTCGGAATTGGGTTTTTATTTTTTTTAGTGGTGCCACGTGGATATTATGTAAAGTGAATTGATACAATGCTAGATGTATAAAGTTGCCATGTAGGTGTAGTCGCATCTGGAACTCACTTTACATACTATTCACATCACCACTTAAAAACAAATAAAAGAACTCATTAAGTAATAACCAAATATCTGATGCCTTTCACCCTGTGGCACATGATCATCGGCTTTTTATTTTTAATTTGGTGCGACAAATTGGAAGTTGGACTCCAACGAAACTGATAAGGAAAACTGGAAGTCAAAACAGAATCATACCTCAAATACAAATGTGTGATCTTTTGATACATTCAACACTTCAAGGGCCTTCAAGTATGGATCAGGATATGGTTTTGCATGCTTGCAATCACTTCCAAGAATAAGTGCATCAAAGAAATCAGTAAGGCCAACTTGATTTATACATAGTTCAGCATTAGCTCTAGGTGCATTGGTAACTGCAGCTCGTTTCAGACCGTGATCTTCGATCCACTTTCTCAACTTGTAGAGACCATTTTGAGGTTTCAACTGTTCTTTTGCCAACCTATATTGTCCATCCAAAAGAGAAATGAAATTGGCGTAATGATATTGAGCTTATAGCTAAATTGCATAACACTAAAATTGAAGTGGAACTTAAGCTATTGTTTTGATAAAGAAATGGGACTTAAGTTATTCTTTTTGATCAAGTAACTGGGACTTTAGTTATATAAACTGAAGAGCCAATATACTCATATAAAACCTTTCCTGAACGTATTGGAGAAGTCTTTGCTAAGGATTTTCAGGATACCATATGGTGATTCAAGGATCCTTTCATGCATTATGTCACGTCTCAAGGAAAATTATTCTAACTTCAAAAGGCCACTTCTTTTGATTAATAGATGGAAATTTTACCTTGTTGGTTTTTGGCAATGTCATTTTTCTCTATGCTTTCACATGCGGAGGATCCAATTTTTTGCACGATTAAGTGTAGTTAAATCTATTATAGCAGGTTACCAGTTAATTGTTATCATAGAGATTTAATTGTAAACCTTATTAGTGAACTGATTTATTATGCAAGTATTTTTTTAACACTGTAAATGCATAAAACCAAAATTTAACTCATTGAAACAGACAAGGTATGGTAGAGAAGTTAAAAACCTTCTAAACAAAGCTTCCTTGTCATCCAAGAATTTTACACCCCGTTCGTGATCATTAGGAAAAAGTACAGAGACAAGATCATCATTGTGTTTCCCAGAAATAGTCTTGACAAACCACTCCGCATCAACTGGCACTCCCCCATTGTATCCTATCTGTTGAAATTAACCCAAATTGCAAAGAGAATGAAAATCATGACTTTGAGATTTTGGATGTGTTTTGTTGTGGAGGAAAACATTTTCTTGAAAATATTTTCTAATTTTCTCATGTTTGGTTGGTCGAAATGTTTCGGAAAACATTTCTATGGAAAAATAGCTTTCTTAAAAATGAGGAAAATGGCTTTCCTAGTGATGGTAGAGAAAAAAAGTTCCATAAGTAGAATTCCAAGTCCATTGTCTTCTCCGCATCACAAACCCCCACTGCCTCCAATCCCCACCTCATAGTGTTTTCCTATATTAGATATTAATGCTCTTGAAACAATATGTTTCTGTTTACTTACCAAACACATAAAATAAAATAAATAAAAAAATTTATTTTCCAAGATATTTTTTTCATGATAAACATTTTTCTTCTTACCAAATACACCCTTGGAGCTAACAATTTCTTCTTCTTTTTCTCCATTGTGAACTGATGTAGCTTTGTATCTACAGGAAATAAATCATAGTAATCGGTACATACCTCCAAAAGCATCTCACGGAATGCAAGATAGTGAAATGGATCTGAATCACATAAAGTTCCGTCAATGTCAAATAGTACGGCTTGAAGGGGAGCAAGCCTTGCTAGAGTGGAAGAACTGCTAATTAAGACAAAATATAGCAGCAATTAGATATGCTCTATTGGTCCCTAGAGTAGAAGGATTCTAATATATAAGTTGACAGTTAGAGTAAACATAGTCTAACTATGATGAATCTTCTGAAAACTGAACTGGTTGGAGTACAAATTCCACTATTTGAGTTCCCAAATTATAACCGGCTTCAAACACAGAAAAAGGAGAAGGATTTCAATAGGTCGAGGGTAAGAGTAAGCTTAGTCTACTTATGATGATTCCTCCAAAGATTGAATTTAATGGAATGTGCCTACCTAGTTATAATTTTTTTTTCCTTCTGGGTATTGTAAAGTCAGTAACGATATTATATGAAAGAAAATAAGATGACCAAAACCCGTGGAAGAATAGATAGTTACAAAATCCATGTGTGGGAATGATGAGAAATAATTGAGAAACATCAATGAGATTCAACATATCAAAACTTCCAAGACGGTTGAGAAATTAAAATTCAATCAAATCTCCAAATGGTCATTAGGAGACAAAAATTGCAATCATGCAGCAAGGGAATGGATCTTAATTCACATTGCAATCAAATGAAATGTTGCAAGAAGATAACATCCCAATCAAACTGTTGGTCAAAATAAAAGTTGTCCCTTAAATATAAGCGAAAACAAGGACCAAAAATTTCACCTTTCCATAGAGATTTCCCCAATAGAAGTGGCCATCTTTTTATAATCGGCAATACACAATTGTTAAGAGTTGTGTAACCTTAGATGAACCAACCTATGCTTCGAAAACTGCCTAAAGGATCAGCTTAAACTTGAAACTGCCTCAGACACATAAAACACAAAAATAAAACAAATTCATGGAGAATAATATGATGAAAAATTAGGGGTGGAGAAGCTTCAGAATCATAAAAAATACTCAGCACAAGAAAATAGCATACATGTAATATGGTTGGACCTGAATAAATGGCAAAAAGTAAGGGACTTGCATCTGATTTGTAACAAAACAGACTTCAAACTATCCATTTAGACATTATATTTCCCTTTCTTTGATTTTCTTATTTGAAAAAAAGTAAATTAGAGCCTCAAATAACTTCTTCTTTTTTTCGAAACTGGTAACAAGCCTCTCGAATTACTGGTTAATGTGAATAGATTTATCATTTGAACCAAATGAAGCATTTTTGTTTCTTTTTTAAAAATCAGAACATGTAAGATATCTCAATGAGCAACAATTGTTTGAAGAGTATCGAATTCAAATCCACGACAACACAGATCAATTTACTAGTCCTATAAATCAATGGCAGAATTAGATTATAATGTGCAGGTTCACGGGAACCAGTTGTTAGAAAATAGCATACACAGCGGAAGCATTCCAGAATATACATCTTGCATGAGTATAGACAACAATCACAAATACATATCACACACAAGTATGCTGAAAATTAACTCAGGATTACCTCTTGAAGCGTGTGCAAATATCTTGAAGCAAATCCAACTCCAGCTCTACAGTCTTCTACAGTGATCCCAAATAACAATTGAACTCTCTCAATACTTGGGTGGGTAAGTATCGTATAGAATACTGAATCTTTTTTCTAGGTTAGAAGAATCCCTACTTATAGAGATGTCTTCCCAGTCCAAAAAGGAGAAGAAAGTATAAATCCTTATTCTTCAAGAAAACCCCAAAACTCACGTTTCTTTCTTGGAAGAAATATACACGTTACTTTTCCTTCTTCTACTAGAAAATAGGATTCTGAGTTCTAGTTAAATTGGGCACTGGAGGGACCACAGAATTTATTACTGAGGCTTCCTATTATGGAAATAATCCAAATAATTAATTTGAATTATTCTTACCATAATAAATTACAAATCATTCCACTAAAAATTCGTAATTGCACTCCTCTATTTATATTTCGAAATTCACCATTAAACACTTATGTAATTCCCCATGTTAAGATTCCAGATACTAATCAATAAATTAAATTACTGACGAATTTAATTCAATGATTAATTTCCTTTAGAGCAACACTTAACTTATTTCATGTGCCAGATTCATAAATCTACCGGCCGGGTTTACACATGAAAACTTATAAGTTTCTCATAAAAAGGTGTATCATCAATCTCTATACTGAGACATGGATTCCATCAACTAACTAATTATTTCACCAATATATATTATTATCATCCAATCTACCAGGCATATTGACCCATCTCAGAATCTCACCTTTTAATAAATCAAAACAATAATTAATATATACAGATCATAATCGTTATATCAAGATTAAGAATATAAGTACATTTAACAGTTTAGAGAATATGTTTTTATCAGTCAGTCTAAAACATCTATCTCTGCTTGGTCCCGTTCAATACATACAAAATGCACTAGCACGAGAAGTTAGAACTATACCATTCTCATAATCAAGATAGATTACATTTAATCTCGTTCTACAATCTTTCTGATGGTTTTGTCCAAAATTTTCATCTACGGTAATAATGACTTATGTAAGTTGATCAGTAAGATTTGATAGTATTTTCATATAGTCATGCACAATGTTCCTTGGATGGATAATTTTAAAAGAAATTGATGGCTGCACATGTCATTATTTTGTCTTTTCTTATGGCGGTACTTCTGTACCAATTTTTTTGATCTCATATTGTGTCGGCTGGAAAAAAAATTTCTCAAAGTGAGCTGCTGGCTGTTTTCTTGTATTAATGAAAACCAAGTGAATTATTTGTGTTAAGGCGGCAGTAAACAAGATGCACAGGAATATTGTTTATGCTATATGTCATTGTATGGTATATTTAAACAAATTGAACTGGTCATGTTTATGCTTTATTTTTTGGAAATTTTTTGTGTAAAATTTGAAGAAATAAAATGGTGATGAGGATTCTTTCTTTAATTACCAAGATTAAATAGTAATGAAGTATTAAATTTATGTGTTGGCATAGACCTTCCTCCCCATCGGATGAGTTTAATACAAGTCACTACGTATTTAATCGCTAGTTTGATAATCTTTATTAACTCTCCTAAACTGAGTAATATATGATTGGATCAATGTAACTAGAGGATTTTCACTTGACTTAAACTAACAGTAGACTCTCCATCTGAGTTAGGTCTGTATAAGTTTATGGAGTGAATAATCGGTCATTATATATTTATATTGTATGAGTAGTTCTCCAATCCCATCGATTGGCTATTCAAGATGCATGAATGTATATGTATATGATGAGTTTGAATGTAAATATTCAATGTCTATATGACTGTTTTGATTGATCTATTGTAACTTTTTCTTCAATCTCAGATTCAACATGTCTCCTTTTAATCCCCTTAGTACTATTTTGGGTCAAAACAAACTAGAGGGTTCTAACTATGTTGACTGGAGGAGAAATCTCGACATTGTGCTAACTGCTGAAGAGTACAAGTTTGTACTCAATGAGGAATGTCCACTGAAACCAAATGAACAATCTAGTGATGAGGATAAGCTTGCTTATCAGAAATGGTGCAAAGCTGATGAGATGGCGCGATGTTACATTTTGGCTTCAATGTCAAATGTGTTGCAACATCAACATCAAGCTATGTTATCTGCTTTTGAAATTCTGGAGAATCTCAAACAAATGTTTGGAGACCAGGGTCGATCAGCTAAGCAGACTGCCATGAGAACTCTCATGAACACTAAGATGGTTGAAGGCACTCCTGTTAGAGACCATGTTATGAAGATGATAGGTCTTCTGAATGAACTAGAGGTCTTGGGGGCTGAAATTGACAATGACTCCCAAGTTGAGATGATATTGCAGTCTCTGCCTGACAGTTTTCAACAGTTTTGCCTAAATTATAATATGAATAAGATGAGTCTATCTTTGGCACAATTGTTGAATGAGCTGCAGGCGGCAGAGACACTTGTCAAAAAGGCACCTTCCATGGCACTAAATGTTGAGAAAGGTTCTACTTCTAAACCGCAAGGTGGACAGAAGAAGAAAAAGGCTCACAAAGCTAAGGCAATTGCACCTCCAACTGGGGGCGTGAAAAAGTCTAAGGGCAAGTGTTTTCATTGCAAGATGTCAGGCCATTGGAAGGCACATTGTCCAGTTTTCTTAGCCAAGAAGAAAAACAATCCAGGTAACTCATTTTCACTTGTCGTTGAAACATTTTTAGCGGCTGTTTCTACCACTTCATGGTGTGTAGATTCAGGAGCCACTGATCATATCTGCACTACTTTGCAGGGGTTTCAAGAAACGCGCAAGTTGATTAGAGGTGAAGTTAGCGTTTTTCAAGCGGATGGTTCAGCAGCTCCAGTTTTAGCATTAGGAAATATTACTTTTTTGTTTGATAGTGGTAGAGTTTTAATTTTAAAAGACGTTTTATATGCACCTGCTGTTAGAAGAAATTTAATTTCAGTTTCTAAAGTTTTGAGAGATGGTTATGATGTTAATTTTTCTGATAACGGTTGTGTTATTAGCTATAATAAACATCTTGTCTCTGCTGGTACATTGATTGATGGTCTTTTTATTATTAATGTCTCTCCAGAATTACAACAAACCGTAGAACTGAATAATGTTAACCTTTCAAGTAAAAGAAAGCGTTCTTCTGATTTTAATGAGACTTATCTATGGCACTTGCGTCTATGTCATATAAATCTAGATAGTAGACCACATCCAGAGTTCCCCATAGTCAACAATTCGATCCTCCGCGTTTGCGGATCTTCGTTTTTTGGATTCGATTTTATTAAACTTCGATTTGATTCTTTAGATTTTAGTTTTGAAATTTATGTGTACGGAATGTGAACTGAACTAATTCGTATAATTAAACTTCTTATAATTTTTCTTTTTAAAAAAAATAGTTTAAAATAAAAATTATATTTCAACAAAATTTAATGAAAAATTATTTAAATTTATTGGGTGACTTTCTAAGTCAAATATCAATAGTTGAGTGATTTTGTAGGTAAAATATTCAAATTGAGTGATTTTGAGATTATAAAAGAAAATTGAGCGATTTTATGTGAGAAGAAATCGAGGCTTAGTTGAGTGATTTTTTGTGAGAAAAATTCTTAGTTAAGTGACTTTGGTATTATAAAAAAAAGTTGAATGACTTCCTATAAAAATAACTACTAATTGAGTGACCATCTGAAAAATTAACTCCTATAGAATTAGAATTACAAAATTAAAAGTAAGTTTATTTCAAAGATAAGGACATTATTAGTAAAATTCAGATTGATATTGAGTAACCTGAAAAAGATTATCTTTAGACTGAATGTGACGAGAATACTTGTCTTTAATAGAATATGAACAAATGTTTGAAAGAGGCAACAAGGTTAAAAAAAACACTTATTTTACCTCAAAGCCAGCTAAAAATGTATGGTAAAAATAGATTAGAAACTTACTAATTTTATTTTGTATAAATAGCTGGTGACCATTTTTTAATGAAAAAATAGTGATTTTTTAATAACGAATATACAATAACTCGTTTCTTAGGCGTAAAATGTTAAGACATGTTAGCCTCACTCAGTTGAATAAATTGCTCACCAAGAACTTAATAATTGAATTTCCTAAAACAAAGTTTAAAAAATAAAAATGATTAAACAAATAATCAGTAATAATAATAAAAAAAAATTTAGATTTTTTATTAAAATAAAATTAGATTTATTAAAACTACAAATGATGTGGTTCCACCACAA